CACCAGAAGAACTGGTGCCGGGGAACTAGCACCGTCTGAAATCATAGTCGGCCGTCGCAGAGCGCGTGCGCGGCTGCACGTCATGTATCACGGACTATCCCCCCGCCGCTGACATGTACGACACCAAACCAGACTGGTGGAGAACACTCGCACCGTCTTTGATCTTCCTAGGCGGCGTCGAGAGCGCGTGTGCGGCGCTGCACGTATGTTCCATTGGCGGGTATAGCCCTGCACAAATGTACGACACCGAAGAACTGGTGAGGAGGACTCGCACCGTCTGATATCATAGGCGTCCGACAGATAGAGAGCGCAGTGTGCGGCTAATGCACGTACGTGTCCATTGGAGCGAGAACTTGTAGACCCATTGACATGTCCGAGCACAGAAGAACTGGTGGAGGAGCCTACGGCCACCAGTGGATCTGCTAGAAGAACTTGCCCCGCTGATCGCCCTGTTGGTGCACTTCTTGTATACCCGGCCACGTAGGTTCCGTTAGATCTGGTTGTAACCACTAACCTTCACGCTTTTACTCATGACGATTTTCACGCCCTTTTTCGTCAAGTAGACTAGCCTTCTTTTATCGCAGAACGGAAATCTTTCCTCTGAACACAGCTGCCGGCCTTTGATCCCCTCCGGCCCTCCACGTGCGCAAAAGGCGGGGCCACGTAACTTGGCTAAAGTTTCTCGCTTACCAACCAGAATTGAACCACAACGCGGCGTTATAATTATAATTATAGCCAACGGTTTTTCATGCGAGGACGTCCGCGTATCTGATATGCGCATGCGCATCCAGGGCGACTGACGAAAGTGGCGGGCAGGCGCGGCTAGTGACGGACGACCGGTATGTGATCGCCCGTTGAGAAGGCCTAGTAGAAATGGCTGTCGCAGGACTCCTCAGTACCTGGCTGTGCAGGAGAATCTTGTTATGCTACAGAGAACTCTGAGGGGAACTGACGAGGCAGAAGATAGTTTGCTGGCCATGTTCAAAAGTCGTGGATGGCTGACCAACTAGCCAAACAAAGCCGATGGCTGATTAGAAAAAGCCCTGAGCAAAATAGAAAGCAAGGTAGAGAATTACGAGTTGTTCATAGAGATGCTGCAGGAAGTTTCAGGTATTGATGAAGCTGTGGAAGAGATCACAAGTGAGTTGCATAATTATAACCAGTGAGCTATTGGAGCTGAAATGATCATTGTCACTCCATATTTCAGAACGTGCCAACAAGGCCTCAAAAGACTAGGTATCTACCTATCACTAACTTATGTGATTGTTTTACTATGCCAAGACCGATACATTATACGTTGCGTCTCTAACGCAGCAAAGGTGCATGCACGGCCTTTATACTGTGCAAGATTAAAAGGGGCGCGGGGGAACGGTCAATAGTGCGATCAGATCGAGAGAAGATGGCAGGTGAGGCGATTGAGATTGCTGCACTGAGAACAAACCTTCGTAGCATCACCAGCGCGGTCCAGGGAAACCTTCAGTGGTTCGCAGATGGTCTCATAGAGAAAGCGTTTATTGCCCCCGGCTCAGCTAGTGGAATACTTGAAACGCATGGGCTTACTCCAGCAGAAAAAGCCGGAAAGCTGCTGAATAGTGTATAGAAACATCAAAAGAGAAAAGACACTGGTTTAATGAGTTTCTTGCCATATTTTCTGATAAAGTCTACGAGGAGCTTGTGAAAACTCTGACAGAGAATGGTACTTGCTACTATATATAATAATAAATAGCTAGCTAGTCCACCTTATAATAATTATACGTATCATCTGTGGGTTCCATGCAGCTTAATAATAAAATCTTGTGTGTTGTAGCTCTGTAGTGAATCTCAGTGTAATATGTACCCACTGGTGAATAAGCTTTGCAGGACTCAAGTTTTTCCTTCCAAATTTAGCACATAACTTGATGCTATATACAAAGAAGGTCAGAGCCCTAGGGGATGAACGAGGGCAGTGAAAGTTGCATAGCTTGGTAGCTATGTTCTGAGTTTAAGAAAGTTCTCTAACACCAGAACGAGCAGACCATCACTGTGATCCCTCTCCCTTGTATTAGTTGCCTGTGGTCTTTGTATAAATATAATTCTTTCTCCGCAGTTTCTGAAAGTGGTGGAGTTTTTGCTGACAGCCCAGAAAAATCTGCCGGTAGCTAGTTATATTGTAATCAACTACCATAGTGTATATATATGTGAGGTGGGGAGGCTGCAGTATCATGTGCTGCATGCCAACATGTGATCCGCAGCATGTTCATGTGTTTGGAAGTCCTTGTGAGCACTGGCACAGATAGCTTGTTAGGTTTGTGCATATAAATCGGCTGCCTTGAGTTGTAATTAATGTCGAGGGAATTTCACAACCTCACACACTCTGCCCTAAACCCATAGAGTCATTTACTACTAGATAATTGATGGGAATTGCTTGCAAAACTTTGTGTATTTAAAATTCACTCCCTCTGTTGCCAGTTGTCATGTTCAAACATTATTGGTTTTGCCACACAATTATTGTTCATTTAACATGCAGGTGAGGCAGAACCATCGCAAGTGTTTGGTATGTTCTATAGTAAATCCACATCCACTGAACTGAGCTATACTGGTTTACTGTCATGTCGACATGTGTACCAAAAATACATTATTTTAGGCCTACTGGAAAGTTGCGAGGAAACACAAGCATGAGTAATTGCTGTATATCACTGAACATTAAAGTAATGGCGACTTTCCAGAGGTGGGTGTGGCAAAACTTCTGACCACACCTCCTGTCAAACTAGTAGATGATGGCAGGGGTTCCAGACCTTGCAATCTTCTATAGATCGTTGTGTTGCCCCTCAGGGGTGCAGTAGTGGCCATGCACAGTTGTTCACCAGTCAGTTGTTTCATAGTTAATTGGTAGCTAATACTTGCATCCATGATCTATTTTAGTGCAAGATTAATCATGTGCAGATATGAAGTGTTATAGTGACTGGTTGAAACTGAAAACTACCAAGGATAAGCAAAGGAAAGGTGGCAAGCTTGTAGCTGAAAGGAAGAAACAACTCTGGCCTAGTGGATCAACGATGAATGTGAAGTTTGGACATATAAAAAATTGGAGAGATGAAGATGGCGAGCCTATTACCAAAGATGCCATCCTCAAGATTGCCAATAAATGGCACGAATGTAATCCACAAGTGGTGCCTAAATTTATCCCCTGTGGTCCTGATAACACTGATAGTGATATCCGAGTGGAGTTTGTTGGTAGGTATATACCTTATTGGGTACCCTGTGATGTCATTTTTTACCTACAGAGAATGGGGTGTCGTGGTCTTTGGTTGGTGCTGAAGCAAAAGATGAAGATACAAATAATCCAACCATGGAGTTGGATTTAGGTTCCCACTATAGGTTCACCATATTGCATGAATTTGGCCATGCACTTGGCCTTCAACATGAGCATCAACACCCTAAAGCTCCTAAGCTCTACAATGAGCAAATGCTAAACAAATTCTTAAAGGACAATCGTGGTATAAAACCAGAAGATGTAGAACAGGAAAAAATTGACAATTGGGCTAGACTTGAAGAAGCTGAATTAATGGGTGAATATGATGAAAAAAGTGTTATGCATTACTTGTAAGTTGCTATAAACTATTTTGTGCAGTTTTTTATTATGATAATCACTAGGATTGAGATGGACGTGCAAGACCATAGTTGCACTCGAGGTCCAACAGTTACGCCAACAGAGCTATCTGAAGGCGACAAGAAATACATTGTGCAATTTTATTCAAGAGGTAATTGAAACTCAATATCAAGCAAACATGTACCCAAAACTATTTGTGAGCGCATCAAGTAAAAATTGGGGCTATGATACAGAGGGACAAGTTTGAGTTTGTGAATGAATTACGTAGTACAACGAACAGAGAATTTGCATGCGCGATATGGCGACGATTAGCCACACCACCAGAACCGCGCGAGAGCATTACACGCAACGCGCATTGCGCTCTACGTAAGGGATTTCCCCTCCGCCCGTGTATGGCAACCACATAAAGCACGGCAAAACACATAACACAGCAAAACACAGAAAACACAGGGAACAGAGGAAAACAACAAACATTTAGACACTACAGAGATCATATTCTCATAAGGCGATATTTTACATTAGGTAATAATAATGTAATCTAGATACTGGTTACATGAGGAACCAACCGAAACATTATAATGTGGCGAACACCCTATTTTTACTTGATGCGTTCACATTTGGCAAGCTTACCTACCTTGATTAGTTAATATACTCGCCTATTTCGGACAAGCAGTTTAGCACTTCGGTGCTTTCATATTCCACAGGTGATGGGGCCGCTGGTTATGGAAGAAAGAGTAAGTAGTCCTTGCACGGGTGTGAGAAATTAGATATTATGACTGCTTACTATCACTCCTTTAGAGCAAGAAGGTCATGTTGCCGATGATAATAGAAAACACGGTAAATTTTTCCCCTAATGACAGTGCAATGTCAAAAAACTAGAACAAAGCTGCTGCTACTGGGTAGGAGGCATGTGACTCGACTACTTGCCCTACCTTAGTTGAAGTTTTGATGTTTGTGAGCATTTTTCATGATGGGGTCTGTGTTTTCTATATATTCAGGTACTATTGAGGCAGAAGGGACTGCAATGGGTATGTGGTTTAATAAGAAATGGCCAGAAACCCCGACTCTGGCACAAGTCTGATTAAAATTGTGAAATGCGAAATGATATGCACTAGGTGCATGCTTAGCACTATAATGATGACTCAAGGGTTTACGTTAGCACTTCTCATTTTGCTTAGATGTGGATGAAACACAGCCTACTACTGCTGCTGCCTCAGGTAAGTACAGTAACTAAGTATACACAACAGATGGCAGCCCTAAGCTACACACGTGTATAATAATAGTGCAACTACTACCATAAATTGCAGATGTTGTACTAAAAACCAAAGAAAAGCAAGGAAGGAGACAAGACCCCTTGAGTAGTACGTCAAATTGGTTTGTGACTGCATGGTCTTTTGGCCTGATGATTTAACAGTCAACTGATGAATCTTGGGGAAATCAAGTACCCTGGGAGCTTACAGGATGACAAACAGAATCCTGCGCTGAAAAAAAACGATTGGTTACCCTTAAACCAATTACTAGAGGCAAAAATAAAACCAAACTTGCCATCTTATGCGTCAAATGTGTAGCATTTAGCTACTAGCCCTGCAGTAAGCGTAATGTAAACTATGACTTGTAGAGCTCACAAATGAGTGCTGTAGTGACGTGCCAAGAGGGTATTAACTGCTAGAGATTCATGTAAACTTGTGTGATTTCTTTTACCAGGACCTCCAACCTTACAGGAACTAAAGAAATTAGGCTTTTTCGAACGTGTTGGAGTGCATTATGAAAAATTTTTTATTTTTTTGTTTTTTTTTTTGTTTTTTTTTATTTTTTATGTTTGTTTGTTATTTATTTGTTTTTTTTTTTTTTTTTTTTTTTTTTTTTTTTTTTTTTATTATTTAATTATTCTTTTTATTTTTTTTTTTTTTTTTTTTTATTTTTACTTTTTTTTTATTCTTATTATTGTAATTTTTTATTTTTTTTTTTTTTGTGTTTTTTAATTTTTTTTTTTTTCACTTTTTATTTTTTTCACTAATTGTTTTTACTTTTTTTTTTTTTTTTTGTATTTTCCATTGTTTTTTTTTTATTTTTTTCTTACCTTTTTTTTGCTTTTTTTTTTCCTTTTCCTTTATTCTTTTCTTTTCTCCCTTGTGTTCCTTTTTCTGTTTTTTTCTTCTTCCTTTTTTTTTTCCTTTGTTTCTTTCTTTTATGTTCTTCTTTTTTTTTTTTGAGGTGCGGAATAGGGCGACGTGGAGATAAAGGGGGGGGGGCGAGGAGGAAGACGCGAGCACTAGGAGCCAACGGCGCGCCCAGCAACGCAATTCTGAAGCCCATTCTTAAAGCCATCCTAAATGATTGGTATGAAAGAAAAGTGCAGCCTGTTACATGGGGCGTCCTTATAGTGTGTCTTAAGAACTGCGACCTTAATGCTCTTGCTAGTGACATTGAAGAATACGTAGCAACACTTGAATAACTTATCCTTTTTGTACCATATTTGCTGCAATGTAATTTTCACTGTTGCTGATCATAATTGTGGTTTGTATGACGTCAACATGACACAACAGTAGAGCCCTGGGGTTGAAACCTACCACATTAATAATTAGGGTTTACTCAAAATATCCAATTTAATAAGGGAACTTTGTGGACTCCCACACACTCGCTCAATAATAATTATTATTCTCGTTCGGCCCTAAGTTGACATACGGGCCCCACTTGACTCTTTCTGACAGCAGTGGGGAAGAAGTGGGTGGATTTACAGCATGTTTTCCATGAGAATTTACAACATATTTCAAGAGTGCTTGGGGATGATACTACAGGTGGGTTGGGGCAGCTTTTTAGTATTTGTGACTCCACATACGCTGACATTACACTCGTAAAGGGTGTGCAAGAGTTTCCGCCATAGTCAGTTAGCGATCTAACCAAGGCAGAAGAATTAGGTTCAACCAGCATTTGTGAAACTTTTTAGGGAGAAGAGAAAGAGGATTTAAGACAGGACTGCAGGTCCTCAGGGAGAGAGGAAATGATAGTTCTGATCAAAATCTCATTGTAGTAGGTTAGTATATAGAACATACAAACCTTTTTAGTTTGTACACCTACTGTGATTTGTAAATGGTTGATTATGGCTAGTGAGAATGGTGCATGCACTTAAGCACCTAGCAACGTAAATCACCCAAACACATGAGACAGTCTAAGCGTCAATTATGCATGCACACCCTGTAAAAGAAATTTTCTCTGGTTGGCAAGCAGAAATGGGCCAACCTATGCATCAAAACAGAGGGTTTTCTATCTGGCACCATCACACATACCGTCGAGGAATTGCTAAATCTTAGGTGCATTGCACGGGGACGGAGACTGTGGGTTGCATAATGTGAGTCTTTCTGCTTCACAATATCAATATTGTGTGTGTGTGTGTGTGTTCTGATAGGCTAATTGTGTTAACCACTACGAACGTAATGATAATCTCCGCTGCAAACTTCAACCTTTCTGTTCAAACTCTCTAGTTAATAGCAAAGCAATTTTGTTTATGAGGGAGAAGAGAAAGAGGATTTAAGACAGGACTGGAGGTCCTCAGGTAGAGAGGAAATGATAGTTCTGATCTGTGACTGGAGAGTGTGGACTGTCTGAGCTGACACTGAGGGATACTGCCGGGTGGCCCTTGACTAGAGGGATGAAGGGGAGATGGAAAGAATGAAGGGGAGGAATTGAGTGAGTAAATACACTGGGGTGGGAGTTAAATAATTCACATACCAGACATTCTTTGACCTGAAGTAGGAAATCCACAATCTCTACCTCTTGTTTGTCCCTCATCCAGAACCCTATGTCCTATATATAGTCAAGTTAGTTTTGTGAACAAAGCAGTGTTAAAACAGTCAGTGGTCTTAGAACATTACAGACATCTGTATACAAAATTCAGACAACCATATAGGTGGCTGAGTGACACTATTATAGCAGGCATCTAGTGTAGTGTGAGTGTGTGTGTGTGTTGTGGCTCACAGCCTTGCAGAGCTGGTCCAAGTGATGAGTCTCAGTTCTGGTTGGCCCTCTTTCCTCACTGAGAACCATGAGATGAAGTTGGGAGAACTCAGGAATCTCCTGTAGACATGCACAGAGTTGGGACACAATATGTGGAGAAGACGTTTAGTGTGTAAGGGATGTAAGAGGGGGAAAGGTCAGTACACGTCACAGTATGGGTGTGTGTTAAGTAAAGAGGTTGGACAGTGGGAAGGGGTGGATAGGTGACTAGTATTAATCTACGTGGGTGGGAACATGCACCTGGCTCAAAAGTGAGCAGAGAGACTAAGTGGTGTGGACAAAGCAGGGCATTCATAAGTTGGTGCGCTAGCGTGTAAAAGTTGAGTAAGAATTCATAATGGGTGAAACATGCACCTGGCTCAAAAGTGAGCAGTGAATGGATATGAGAGTGACTAATATTAATAATAGTGAGTGGTTAATGTTTTCATAGTGGTGGAACTCTGCAGCCTGGTCGAAAAGGAGTGGTTGATGACTGGAGTAAGTGTGTGTGCATGAGAGCAAGGCTGAGTTACATTCAGGTGGAATGAGCACTGTTTCGAGAAGGAAAGTGTAGTGAGAAGAGATGATTCAAAGTGGGTTGTGCTGTTTTGTAGCAGGTGAAAGTCGTGAGAGAGATGTATTCACAATGGGTATGTGCTTGTTACGTAGCAGGTGAAAGTCCAGTGAAGAAGAGATGTATTCACAAGTGGGGTATGTGCTGTTTACGTAGAAAGGTGAAAGTCCAGTGAGAAAGAGTGTATTCACAAGTGGGTATGTGCGTTTTACGAGCAGGTTGAAAGTCATGAGAAGGATTATTCACAATGGTATGTGCTGTTTACGTAGAAGGTGAAAGCCAGTGAGAGAGATGTATTCAAAGTGGGTAGAATGTGCTGTTTACGCTAGCAGGTTGAAAGTCCCAAGTGAGAAAGGAAGTGGAATGTGCATGTTTACGAAAGAGAGGGCGCCCAAAGAGGAATTCTGTCAAGAAGAAGGGTGGTCTGAAAAAGTAAGTGGTTCATGACTCACTGGTAAACGCAGATCCAGTTCTTGACCCCAGAAGTGAGGTGAGGTCGCAGCGCCTTCCATTCCCTTCAGACAACGTCACTATCAGCCGTCAGCTGCGGTGTGCTGCAGAAGAGAGATCTTACTATACTAAGAAATAGAAGACCGCTATTTCTGGTTGTGTTGTGCGTAGAGACTGAGCTAGCACGTGGAACAACATTGTATAGCATATGTGTGTTACATACCCTCCATGGGGAGCATCTCTCCTCAGTGGCCATAGACTAGCCAGAGACCTCTCCTGTTGAAAAAGATACGAGAAAAACAATCTCACTCACTCACTGACTTGTAGCAGCAGAATATACTCAGAGGTGATATACAACTGGTAGTAGCCATTCAGAGCATGTTTCTTGCCCATCACATTCTGCCAGTCAACACACAAACATGCTGTAAACTATTACCAGAGAATCTGTGATTAGCACAATTTATACCGGCGCTCATTGGCCTTTGCCTGGTGGCGTCTGTTTAGATGAGAACGGTGGCATTTGCAGTAATGAGTTTTGGAAATTGAAAACAGTGTCTTCTGTATGGTTATATATCACCTTGTTTTGAAGATGACAGTCTGGCAAAGGTCTTGTCTTTCTGCACGAAGGGCTTGCTACCTGCTGAATCACCCCTGCAGGAACCCCAGTAAAACATTATTCATCCTTCCAATAATGTAGAATATACAGTACCCTGCCACGGTACGCTAACTCGGAACTGTTTGTTTTTGTGCAAAAGGAAATATAGGAAATGAAAACAAGCTGATTGGGTGGCCATAGTTTTTGTTACGGCCAAATTGGTGCATTTCTGAGAGACCATGACCTGATTTTTACACTAAGAACCACTCTGCATGAAACTCAGTTGGAAAAGGTCCCCCCCCATTCATCAGTGCTTTAGTGAATAGCATACATTCTACATGTGGGTGCTTCCTTATTGGAAACTCACCTAGTCTCTGGAATTGCATGTATGTAGCAGTATAATAGCACAACTACATATGGCTATAGTAGAACTTCATTCTAGATCTCAATGCCTTATTATACAGCTATAGCTATATCCTGGTCTGGTGTAGAGAGGTCACCTGGTGACCTGTTCTCTGAAATGAGGTGTCTGGCTCTCCTCTGTCCCTGGAGAGAACATTGGGGAGGAGATTGAAGGGTGTGTGCGTGTGATGTGTGCGTGTGTATGTGAAGCAGCTCACTTTAGGAAAAGCTAACAATACAAGAGACTTTTGTGGAGGTTAAAATAAACCACTTATATACCAGGATTGCTGGATGAGATTTCTGCCAAGTTTGCTGACGTGAGGCCAGGGTCCAGCGTCTTAGTGAAGAATGGGTTAGTCACTCCCAGATTAACCCGGTGGAGCTTGTGTGGAAGGGGGAGAGGGGAGGAGGGAGAGGGGGATTGAGAAATAGGTTTGACAGAGAGAAAAAAGAAGTGAGAACTTATCGCCTCAAGAGATGTAGTATGTATGCTGAATGAGAAAAGAATGGCACAAAGAAGAGTAAGTCGAACCTCGTTAATATGAACTCCAGGGGACCATCAAGAAATGTTTCATATTAATGATTTTTTTCTATAACTGTAGCTAGTTGTAAGTGTCCCGAATACCTGCTATAGCGGAGTGTCAGTGAAATAGGATGGCTAGAATGTTGTACTTTTAGCGACAAGTGGGTGAGGAGGACAGGCCAACCACCTCCTGAATGTGTCGTTGTAATATAGCTTGAGTGTGCAGTGAAAA